GGCCCTCAACTTTTGCCTTTCTCAATCTCTAACTCAAATAGTCAACTTTCCAACTCGTTTTCCAGACAACCCTAATCATTTACCTTCTCTACTCGACTTATGTCTTGTTTTGGATCCTAGTCAGTGCTCAATTTCTCCACATTCACCCTTAGGTACTTCTGATCACGGTTTAATCTCTCTAAAACTATTATCAAATTCTTCTACTTCATCAGAATCCCCCTATCATCGTACCACATACAACTACCTTAAAGCTGACTGGGACTCTTTCCGTGATTTTCTTCGTGATGGCCCTTGGGTAGAAATCTTTCGTCTTCCTGCTGACAAATGTGCTTCTTACATAACTTCGTGGATTCAGGCTGGCATGGAATCTTTTATTCCCTCTCGACGATTCCAGGTCAAGCCTCACTCTTCTCCTTGGTTTTCCTCACATTGCGCTGCAGCAATTTCTAATCGAAACCGTTACTTCCATATCTATCAGCAAAACAATTCTCCAGAAAACAGACATCTGTTCACTATCGCCAGAAACCATTGTAAAAAGGTTTTGTCTGACGCCAAAGCTCGCTATTCCCAGGTCATTAAATCTAGTATCTCATCACAAAAATTAGGCTCTCGAGACTTCTGGAGAATCTTTAACAGTATCAATATCATCTCTTGATTCCACTAGTTGCGTTTTACCTGACATAGCCGTCAAACAGGTTGATCCCTTGCTTGACATTCGCATCACTTCAGCTTCTGTATCTAAAGTAATTTCCTGCTTAGACTCTTCAACAGCTTGTGGTCCTGACAATATTCCTGTTGTAGTCTTGCAGAGGTGTTCTCCGGAGCTTTCATCCATACTTTCTAAACTATTTAACAAGTGCTTATCAGAGTCTTGTTTTCCATCATGCTGGAAAGCAGCATCTGTTATCCCTATTTTCAATAATTCCGGAGAGCGATCTGATTCATCTAACTACCGTCCCATTAGTCTTCTTCCTGTCATAAGCAAGGTTTTTGAATCTTTAATCAACAAACACTTAATCTCTCATCTTGAATCAAATAACTTACTTTCTGATCATCAATATGGATTTCGGTCTTCTCGTTCTACAGCTGATGTGCTAACAGTAATAACCGATAGGTTTTACCGTGCATTAGATAGAGGTGGAGAGGTTAAGGCTATCGCACTTGACATTTCTAAAGCTTTTGATAAAGTTTGGCATGCTGGTCTTCTCCATAAGCTTTCTTCTTATGGTGTAGCTGGTAACGTCTTTAAGATTATTGAGTCCTTTCTTTCCAATCGTAGTATAAAAGTTGTCCTCGATGGACAACACTCTTCTTCACATCCTGTAACTTCAGGGGTTCCTCAAGGTTCAATCCTTGGCCCTATACTCTTTTTAATTTACATTAACGATCTTCCAGATATTCTCACATCTAAGGTGGCATTATTCGCTGACGACACTACCATTTACTCTTGTCATGATAAGAAGCCTAAACTCTCTGATTGCTTGGAGGGGGTATCTGAGCTTGAAAAGGATCTCACTTCTGCTACAGCATGGGGCTCACAGTGGCTGGTGAACTTTAACTCAGATAAAACTCAATTTTATTCGGCCAATCGTTATCGTAATAATTTAGATCTTCCTATATTTATGAATGGTAATGTACTAGATGAGTCATCTACCATTCATCTTCTAGGATTAACTCTTACTTCTGATCTTTCTTTTAAACCGTATATCAAATCCATTGCAAAATTAGCACCTGCTAAGGTTGCATCTCTTTATCGAGCTCGACACTTTCTTACTCCAGATTCTATTCTCTATCTCTATAAATCTCAAATCCGTCCCTGTATGGAATACTGTTGCCACATCTGGGGCGGATCTTCTAATGATGCTCTTTCTCTTTTAGACAAGGTGCAAAAACGAATTGTAAACATAGTTGGACCTGCTCTGGCAGCCAATCTCCAACCTTTGTCACATCGTCGTAATGTTGCTTCTCTTTCTCTTTTCTACAAATACTATAATGGGCACTGCTCTAAAGAGCTAGCGTCCCTTGTGCCATCTACTAAAATTCATTCTCGTGTTACTCGCCATTCAATTAAGTCTCATCCTTTTTCTGTGACTGTTCCTAAGTGCTTCAAAAACTCTTATTCTTCTAGTTTTTTTCCTCGAACATCAGTTCTTTGGAATTCGCTTCCTTCATCTTGCTTTCCTGATTCATATAATTTGCAATCTTTTAAGTCATCAGTCAATCGTTATCTTGCTCTACAGATTTAGTCTTTTCTCTTCCAGTAACTTCCAACTCTTATAGTGGTTGCTTGCATCCTTGTTGGAAGTGAAGATGTTAAAAAAAAAAAAAAAAAAAAAATTGACTTTTAGTTGACTTCGAAAGTATATTAATCAATTTTAGTCGACTTAAGAAAATACATTAGTTAATTTAGTCGACTGTTGAGTTATTTAGTAGCCCTAACAACACTAGTCTCAATAAAGTCTTCAGGTAGCAGGGTTGTGGTTATTGCAGTGTAATTAGACCATGTGGTATTGTCAAGGTTTAGGTGTCCTGTGATTAGAAGACCTGAATGGTGTTTATTTTTGACTAATTTAGATTTAAAATTTATAGAGGCTTTAATTTTGTTATTTGAAAGGTGATTACTGAGGTGGATGGTATTTACAAGTACAATGAAAAGTAATTACTGAGGTGGACGTTATATACAGCCATCTAAAAAAAATTTTAATTCCAAGATTAACCAAACTCCAGACTTGCTCAGAGTCAGTTTTGTTAAGTTCAAGATAAGTTACTTTGTGACTTAATAGTTGTGTCGGATATATAAATGTCCACCATGAGGATTATTGTAATATAATTAGAAATAGAGTTACAGAACCATGGACCAATAGAACCATGTTTCTGTTATGAAAACAAGACTTGGTAGTGTCTTTGAAGTTTAAATAAGGCTTTGTAGCTTTGCAAGTTTTAACAAGGTCACATTTGCATAAAAACAACTAAAATTATTAAGATGTTTTGTTATGTTAATTTTATTATTAGTAATTATTTTTATATTGTTATTGATTCTGTTGTGGACTGATTTAAATTTTAATTTTGTTTTAACATGTTCTAAACATGTTAAAACTAAATTAAAATTTAAATCATGTGTTTCTTTCAAGAGTCAAGTCCCAAACTCTATCAATGCATGTGACTCTACCACTACAGGTGGCCAAATAAAAAGGCTAATAATTTTGCTGACTTACATGTTTTCACTGTTAAACCTGTTAAATTCTATAGTTAGTAATTTTGATTGCCTCCTGTTGAGCAGAAGTTTCATTTGAGTTGATATTGATGTCATTTCAAGCGATGTTAAGTCTTTGTTTATGGACAATTTGAGAATTGTATTTCTTTCTTCTACATTGTTAAAACGTAATGGACATGCTTGAGCTGAGGTGCTTTTGTCACCTCTGAAACATTAGCAACATGTTTATATTCAACATTAAGTACGTTTTACCAGCGCTTTATCATGTTCAAAACGGTTTGCAGCTACTGGTAAAGGTGATGTCTTGATACCAAAAATAATAAGATTTTTTTGTTTTCTTTCTCTTAGAATAGAGTGTTTGATCTAGTTACTTTGCCTCTTCCAGAAACAACTGAGGCCCAGCTGAAGTTTATTAGATTGCTGTTGCTAGTATTAGGTTCTAAAGTTAATGGTGAAGTAAGCAAAGCCTTCCTCTAGTACTGTTTATTTTTGCTCCCTGAACATATAAAATATTTACTTAAAATTTAGTAGAATTTTAAAACTATTTTAATTTAGCAGAAGTTTAAAACTAAAAATGTTTTATTTTACTTGTTATAGCTCTATTACATTGTCTGTGTATTTTTTTGAGCAATTAATTTCCAAACCTATTACACAGGTCAACAAAAAATTTATTACATTAATTTTGAAACTTGCTCTGTCTTAATTTTAATACGCTAAATTCATATCTGATATCAGATTTTTATGGAAAGCTACATGTTTTTTGCAATAAATTATTTTTTAATTTTTTTAAAATTTAGGTTATTGACAAAAGTTTTTAAAGTGTTTCTGTAAAACAGATTTGAATTCATTTATAAATGCTAGGGTTTGGTTTAAATGATTTAAATTTTTTTACAAGTTTAAAACAAAAATAAAAAACAGCTAAATATATATAATTTTTATGCTTTATGATGATGATGATGATGATGATGATGATGATGATGATGATGATGATGATGATGATGATGATGATGATGATGATGATGATGATGATGATGATGACGATGATGATGATGATGATGTAACCTTTGGTTGTCTTAAGATTTTATGGAATTGTTCTCCTTTTTCTTCACTCACCTCTCCAAGATTTTCAGGAAACTTGTCCAGATGAATACTTACATAATTAAGTTTCATACTCATTTTATATCCAAGATCACAAAAGATCAGAAACAAAAGAATCAATATTGTTTTGCAAGACTTCTCCTCTAATGCAACACCTTTAAAAATGCCTCAGTGTTTTAGTCAGTTAAAACAAAATAACTTAGTGTGTGATCTAGGACTTTCTAAGTAAACAGCAAAACTATTAGCCTCTTGATTAAATAAAAAACTTAAATATGTTCATTCAAACATAAAAATAACCTCAATTTTTCCAAGTAGCACCTGGTTGGCTATGACAGGCAATTATTGACAGCCAGAATTTTGAATGAATAAAGTTTTAAATTAAAAACTAAGAATAGAAAGAACTTGACAATTATAACAAAAATGAACATTAGGTTTAACTTATATAGAAGTAGAAATAGAAATAGTATTCAGTCACAAAATCATTGCAATAGAATTACTGACTAACTTATAATCATAGACTTTAGTTTGCATTAGTGGTAAATTTACAATGAAAATTTTAATTTAAATTATTGAAAGTTAAATTTTTGACATTTCAAACTAGTAACTAGTTTATAGTTTTTTCTCAAGTTTCTTGTATATATAGTTATATATTTTTTTTCGACGCTTTGTTATGTTGCTTTTGTTCTAGATGTTGTGAACGGAGCAGTGTTTAATGAGGATCACGATGAACTTGTTATAGTAAAAGATATTGATTTTTTTTCTATGTGCGAGCATCATTTAGTTACATTTTATGGCAAAGTATTTTATTTCATACTTTTTTTTTGTTTTTTGTTTTGTTTTTTTTATTTATTTATTTATTAGAAATTACTTAAAATCATGTTTTTTACTTTTTATGTTTACAATGATGGATCATTATTGTAAGCATCTATAAGTCATTTTGATTATATGAGATTATTGCTGATAGACACAATTAAAATGAAATTACACAATTAAATGGCGCAATTAAGACGCAATAAGGGGAGATTTTTTAATTTTGATTCATTCTGTGTCTTAATAGTTTCTGCATTTTCTCAGATGTGCGTTTTTAGTACCCCAGAAAAAGTAAAATTTCCTCAGATGTGCATTTTAAGCACCACAAAAAATTTAAAGTTTTCTCAGTTGCAAGCACCCCAGAAGTTTTAAAAATATATAATTACTGTAAAAAAAAAAATCTTATTTGACAAATATTAGAAGTTGAAAGTCAAAAATTAGCATTATTTAGTTCGAATTAGTTATTTTCAAAAAACTTTTTTGCATGACTTTTATTAAATTATTATTTTTTGAAAATTTTAGGTCCATGTTGGGTATTTACCAAATAAGAAAGTAATTGGAATTAGTAAAATTGCAAGGTAAAACTTTCATTTTATTTGGTTTGACAGTGGGCCAGAAATTGACATTAAATAGACAAAAAATAACTCCTTTATTTTTAAAGATTTGATAATAAAATTAAATTTTTTGTCTCCTGTCATCCTATTTTTCTTTTTTTTTATTTTTAAATAAAAGTTTTTTGTTTTATTTTTTTTTATTTTTTTTTGCAGATGCAGGTACCCTGAACACCCTAATATAAAAAGGTGTGTGTTGGGTTCAGACATAACTTTTCATTATTTTTAAAAGTTATTTTTTTCAGATTCAAAGCAGTGATCAACTAAAAAGCTTGTTACCTAATATATCTTTTTTTCAAACAAAAAACAAAAAAATTAAAAATATAAAAAATTAAAAAAAAAAAAGTTACAATAAAAGTTTGATACAATCTTCATTTAGCTTAAGTTTTTTTTTCATACACTCCAAACTCATTCTTAAAGATATAATGGTAAATCTGAGATAAATGAGTCTAAACTTTGCAACAAGCTTCACATAACAACTTTATTATTGATTTTCCTTGAAAATTTTCTACACTGTTTTATCTCATGAGTATGAATTAGCATTTTATGGACACTTTAAGCCATTGGGTACCATAGATAAAGAAAAACATAGAGACAAAAGTGAAAAACAAATACATTAATATTCTAGAAAATTAATAAATATTAAAGTACTTAAATATCATGGTTAACAAGTGTGTTATATATGGTTGTAAAACTGGATACAACAGTTCTTTGAAAGCTATAAAAATTGCTTCTTTTTATTTTCTGCTAAAAAATCAACATTTTTTAAATGAGTGGGTTCATTTTGTAAATTGTAGTGATTGAGTGCCTTCATCAAATTCTGTTTTATGTGAAAAGCATTTTAATGAAAAGTAAATTATTTTAGGTATAAAATGCAAGTTGTATTGTTAAAAATTGCGTTCTAAAATTTAAATTCTGAACTAAAAAGTTTTCTTTTGACAAATATTATAAGTTGGAAGAAAAAAGAAATTTTTGTTAGTTAAAATTAGTTATTTGCAAAAATAGTTTTTTTTGCATAACTTTAGGTTTGTGTTGGGGTTTTAAATAAACCTTAAGTCAATGTTGGGTATTTACCACATAGGAATTGGAATTAGTAAAATTGTGCTAGATAAAATTTTTTTTTTTGATTGCACAGTGGGCTAGATTTTGACATGAAATGGACAAAAAATCATAACTCCTTCATTTTTTAATAAAACACTTAGTGAGATTACATGAAGATATATTCCTGATAGTTCAAATAATAATTGTTTTATGATAGTGTTCACATTTTTTAAAATATCATAAATGATTTATTACTCTAAAAAAATTGTCTTGTTATCATATACATACCCTATAAAGGATGATTGTCCAGCTGGTTGTATTACATTGGAAGAAACTTAAAAAAGAGTTTTAAAAAAAGGAATTTAAAAAAAAAAAAAATTATAAAAAAGGTAATTTTAAAAAACTCCAAAAATTTCATATCAAAGTCTTAAATGTTTTAAAAGTTATTTTTTGGAACAAAATAACATATCTGGTTTTCTTAACATTTTTCAAAAATGTTAAGATATTATTTTAGCCAGACTTTAACTAAGGATAATAAAAATTACTGAACAGCATTAAATATTAGATCATTTTAAAACTCGAATGAGATATTTGAATCAACTCTGAAACAGAAGAAATTTTAACAACAATTGAAATCATGGTTACATATAAAAGAAGTTGATAAAAAGAAGCAAATGTAATGATTGCTAGTCTATGCATTGGTTACAAATCTATGCTTGCTACAGATTCAAGTAATAACAATCGTATTTTTCATATTTTAAAAACTCCTCAAATAACACATACTTGCAAAGAGTTACTTACAGACAAGTTACAGTAACTTCTCCATCAATTATTGTGCATTCTTACTTTGTGTATAAAAACAATTATATATTTTTCAGTAGCCAGGTTACAGATTCATTGAGTATTTTGAACCTTTGGTATGATTTGTAAATCTTTAAACCAAATGAATAATTAGTATAATGTATTCTATAATAAAGTTTGCATTAATTTGTGTTACCTCATTTCAATTCGGATACAGTTATTTATTTAAAAATTACTCCATGACGAATTGTTTGATAATCAGCTTAACTAAGACTGCAGTCCATGATCAACGTTTTTTTATCCATTTTACATTGTCATTTAATTAACTGCATCTTTTTTTTCTATGATTTTAGCATTTGTTTCATAGTCTTGAGTGGATAAAAAAATTTAAAAATTGAATTAAATAAGAAAATTTCATCGCCCTTAGTGTTTTGAAAAAAGTATTCTAGTTTTTTATAGCATTTATATTATGTTATTTTATTTATATATTTATTATATTATTTTATTTACATACTTAGATTTGTTATTAAAAACACCTTTAAAAAAAATTTATTTGTTAATTTAAAAAAAAATTAATTAAATGTTATTATTGAGACTATAAAATTTTATGTAATTCAAAACAAACGATGTAAATTAATGAAATTAAACATTTGAAACGGTGTAAAACGATGAAATTAGTATTTATAGATTTTCCTTTCTTTTTTTTTTTATTTGAACAAGCTTGAGAACCAGAAACTAGGACTCTTAAAACAAAATTTAAAATATTAAAATGAAATTTTTTTATTGTGAGATATATACTTTTGAAATTTTGCAAACAAACTAATACTTATTTTTTGCATTTATGCTGGTCTCATTTATGATCTATTTATTTATATTTATCATTTGATTTATGCCCACTCTGGACTGCTATAATTTTTAATTGGATCATTTTATTAGTTCAAATTATTGCAAATTGTTTGATTGAATGGCTTATTGCTTTATTTTTGATTGGATCACCTCATTGCATATTTATTAATTTGAATATTTTTTATAATAATAATTTATTTTAGAATTGTAGAAATATTTAGTCGAAGACTTCAAGGTAGTTTTAATAATTGTTAATTTAGTTTTTCGTGTTAAAAAGGAATTTTTTGTTTTTAAAAGATAAGTATCTCAAGATAGTTATTAAAAAGTTTGTTTTAGTTCAAGAGAGACTAACCAAGCAAATTGCACTAGCTTTATTTGAGGCTGTGAGTCCTTCTGGTGTTGGTGTTGTTATTGAAGCTTGGTGAGTTGTTGTTGTTTTTTAAATCATTTAAATAATTTTTTTAATTATCTAATAAACTATAATAGTCTCAAAATGTTTTAAAGCAAACTTAAATATACACACTTTAACTGAATCACATTTTAAATAATAACAGAAAGAGATTCAAAAAAGATATTGTTTTTCTATGAAAAGGTTTTGGCAATAACAATTGCCGCAACCTTTTTATTAAGTCTCTTCAAACTTTTTCTTAAAAATATATTTATTTAAAACTAACTCATAAAATACATTTATAAAATGTGTTTGCATAATAAACCAAAGTTATAAATTATTATTTCGAAAAATATATATATATATATATATATATATATATATATATATATATATATATATATATATATATGAGGGTACAGCTCTAAAACTCAGTTTTAGAGCTGTAACCTCATTAGGAGATAATAGAATGAGTTGCCTAATCATAAAAACAGAGACACAAGCAAAACACATGCATTGAGTCAAGAAGATCCAGCATTCAACATCCTAAACTGGAAACAATTTAATAAAAATACATCTGCGCCAGCCTAATAGATGAAAAAGGGGTATGAGGCTGGTCAACAGATAGAATCTGTTTACCCATTAAGTCTTTGCCTAGGAGGCATTCTGTAAGACAGTAGCCGGATGCTTTTAACATCTGCCCAAGATGAGTAATTTTATTAGGGGGTGTTTTATGTCAGGAGTTGGCATCTCCTAGCCTTTGCCTAAAAAGGTGTATATAACAAGACAACAGGACATGAAGCAGATTGTACTGGGTTACATGTTACCAGTAGTAGGATAACCTGACCTGACTGGAGGGTAAATGTAACAATAGGCTACAAATTTACAACAACCTCTACCCACCAGGTGTATCCAGGGATGTAGAGGGGGTGCTAAACCACCATCTTATCCACCAAAAATTGCATTTTTTTTCTATAGAAGAGCGCCTTTTTTGAGCAACCAATAATTTTTAGATACAAAAAGCTATTTTAATTTTCTTTCAGACTACCGCCAAAAAATGAGAACCGTATTTTTATGTTATGGTGCATATGGAGCCGGTGGTTTAACACACCCTATTTTCAAAAATATTTCATTCATATAAAACTTTGTATATTTATGTAAAAAAGTATATATACTACTATATATTTAATTTACTAATTTACAAAATATAATAGTGGTGCACAGTCAACTCAAAGGAATAGGAAGTGTTTTATAAACACGACATGAATGTAAGCCAACATAAACCAACAAAAAATTTACATTAATCACAATAGTAATCAGCTTGACAAACTATTATATATAATGGCAGTTATATTATATATGGAACGACATTACAAAAGATAGCAAACATAAAAAAACAACCACTGTTAACAGAGTTTAAAATTTTAAATTTTCTAATTTAAATTTTTAAACTCTGATAACAGTGTTATCAGAGTTTAAAATTTTAATTATAATTGTTTATATTATATGCCATTTTAATGACATATAATATAATATAAAAAAGTTTATATTATATTATAACCTATTATTCAGATTGATTTTATATGTATAAGTCACTAATGCTAACAGAGTTTAAAAAGTTACAAATTTAGAAAAGTGTAAACAACTTAAAATATATAAGATATATAAAATATATAAACTTTTTCACAAAATAGTAATTTGATTGAAAAATTATTATATAATCTCACTGATGGCAGATACAGCTAAACATTAAAAAGAAAAAGAGAGTATACAAAAAAATAGAGTACAAAAAATTACAATTATTGAAGTGTAACAAACCAAAAATATATAAGATATATAAAATATATAGTTTTATATATCTTATATATTTTTGGAACTCAAAGTCATAAAAAAAGATATTTAAGATATTGTTTTTATATTTCATGAGTAAGGAAGAGTCCTCACTCATAAAATCGCCCACATGTTTCATAGATCTATCAAAACAATGATATATAGCAAGTAGCTAGTCTAACATGTACTTTGACTGTTTCTTCATAAGGTTTTAATAAAAACTAAAGAATATTTAATTAGCAAGTAATTGGATTAGCTCTCCTTTAAAATTTAATAGCTTTTAAGTTGTTACAAAAATGTAAATATAATTAGTATTGTTATAATTATCCAATATGTTATCAAAGGTTTGACCATTAAACATAGGAACGAGGAAGACGATTTTTTTGCCGACCTTAAACAATTAGGACCCTAATTATGAGGACTGAATATGTATGCATAAACATATGTTTATATTGATAATATAATATATATAAGACATATGATATAATAATGACAATATATATGATATTTACATGTGTTTATATATATATATATATATATATATATATATATATATATATATATATAAAATGTATATAAATATATATGTATATATAATAGTAATAGTGTAACAGTGATATGTAGCTATATATATTTTAAACCGGGAAACACATATATGGTTATACATGCGTTATGACAGCCTACACTACTCTTTATTTTATTTTTAATAGTTTACAATTTGTTAAAAATAAAAGTTACGTATAAAAAATTAGAGTTTAATAAATTTCACAAAATTTTTAATAAAAATTTATCGAGTCTTGCTTTAAAAGAGTTCAAAGACTGTGCATTCACAGTGTAAATTGGTGATGCATTTCATTCATTTGCAATACAATTACTAAAGAACGTTTGTCAAGATAAAGAATGCTTGACATTTTCTTTTTTAATTCTTAGATTATGACCTCTTATTGCTGATGCTGGTCCATTTGCTCCTAATGATGGTGCAAATTGTTGTGGTTTAAGCCATGTATATGATTTATATTGTTCAATAATTTATACTTTTGTATCAGATAGCAGCAAAAACGCTTAGTCGCCAACGTAGTCAATTTCATTTTGGATAGTCGTTCTTCATAACACAGATGTTTGAGGTTTTGTTCCAGTTTGGTTGCGCGATGTTAGATCTTTTCTAGTGTTTTAATGTCACCTTTCAAAGTAGGATTCCATACAGGGGTTATAAACTCAAAATAAGGACTATGTTTGATGACTTTGATCACATTCTGCACTTTTGCTGCGTAAACTTTGCCATTTGATGCCTAATCAGATCAACAGGGCAGTGGTATGCTTTCTGACGAATCCTTGTTTGCAGCTGAAATGTTTAGTGCTATATTATTTGTGACTGATTGTAGCTCTTGATTGATTGTAGATCTCTGTTCCACAAATATTGAATAATCACCCACAGTTATTTGTTCTGGATGTATGCCAGCAGCAGCAACACACCTCATTACATTGTTAATATTTGCAGCAATACATTGAGCCTCTGCAAATATACCAGCAACATATTCTTCAGAAACAGCTCGGTTAGAATGATTTCTCAGCCACTTAGCCACACACACAGGTTACTTCTGTATCATAATGCGAATTCAAGCTTTTAAAAAGTGAAATTTAGAGTGGCTGTAACTTGTGTGTACAGTGTGATGGAAGAAAATGATCCAATCGGTTTTCGAAAACTTGTTTATTGATCCATCCTGACTTATTGTTACCAATGGAACCTGAGAAGCTTTAATGTTGACTCTTGGAAAAAAAAAAATTTATTTTCCCAAAAGTCAACATTAAAGAAATTATATTTTTGCATTGCGCAAGGCAAAAATATAACTATCATTTACTGCATGTCAGCTACTGGTCACTATGTGCCGCCCTTATTTATTTTCCCAAGAGTCAAAAAAAAAGTGTCAAAAGTGGAAAAGATTGCTCTGCACTTTTAATTAAAAGTTGTTGCCTTAACAAAGGTAACTAACACTATGTTTGCCCTTTTTGCCACAATTTTACGCCTTTCTGGCAAATGGTTTTCCTTTGTTTCATCAACATTTTATTAATTTTCTTGTCAAATTTTCTTTATAGTTTTGGCAAATAAAAACCTATATATATCAATAGACTAGAGCAGCGATCAATTTTTATTTTATTAAATCCAATTTCTCATTGAATTGAAATGCCCTCTGGTAGATGTATGGACATTTCATGAAACCTTTAAACCGCTTTTCTACTGCACATTTTATTGAATGGCTATATATGTGTTGTAATTTATTTTGTTCTCAAAACTAATAAACTAAATTTTTAATATCCAAAGGAGTTAAACCATGCAAATTTGTTTCCATTTCAAAGATAAAATGACAAAGTTCATCTTCTTGATCATTAGTCAAAACAGTGCTGTAACCCAACTTCTTTTTAACTCCAGCTCCATTACTAACTTTACTTTAAATGACGTGTCCATATTAGGCTAATCGTACTGCTACTCCATTATCAAGAATACATAATAATGCATTGATTTATTAATTTAACATTAATTTAATATTAATTATCACTCTTCTTATAAGTCCTTTAAAAACAGCTCTTACCAGAAAAAAAAAGTTTGGTACTTTCAAGAGATATAACTTGATAAAACTTGCAAAAAGCCAACTATGTCAAAAAAACTTTTTCAACTAAAAATTATTTCTTGTGCAAATAAAATTGTTAGAATATTTTAGCGCTAAGTAACCAATAAATCTAATACATAGATAGCTGCCGGTTAAATAAAACTAATTTAAAAAAAAAAAGATATAACTGGGGTTCACATTAGGACTGGGTCTACATTAGGGCAGTTTTACTGTTTACAGTTTTACTAATTTTTACATACAGTAAATAAGTAATAAAGCTAACAATTTAATAAAATTTAACAAAAAGATTGAGGAGACTTTAGTGAGTAAAGTGATTTACAAATTTATCGTAAGTGATTTACACATGTTTTATCGTAAATTAAGTTCTTTAATTTTAGACAACTTTCAAGGCTAATATTTATTTAGATATATCTTAAGTTACTCTTAGTGATATCTATGTTGCTAAATATCTGCTTTCAATAATATGTTGATCCGAAAACTTTCAAGAATTCAAATGGTGCCAAAACAATCAAGTTGGGTGTTATTCTCATGAAGACTATTCCATGTTTCAAATATAATTTAATTTCTTTTTGAGAACTTAAAATTTCTTTCCATGCAAGCTTTCCTGTATTTCTTACCGAGTTTTTAATTTGGTTTTCAAAGTATATTTGATTTCAAATCTATTAAATGAAGTTTAAATTGAGTTATAATGACCTTTTGGAACGGTTTAATTAATTTCTTTACTATTTACAATACTAGTTTGTATAACATGCATTTTGATTTTGAAATCTAGAAAAGAAATGTTTAGCAAAATTCAAGTTTTTTTTAAAAAGTTAACCAGGTCACGTTTTAACATAGTTTGATTAGTTTCCATTTCTAATCTAAAAATACTATTTTCACTCTAATTTTATTTTATGTTTAAGAATTACATTTAAAAGCTAACAGTTTTTAAATAGAATGATGACATTTTTGCGTGCAAATTTTATTCACGCACTTTTATGGAACTGTGTTTAAGCAATGTTATATAAATAACTACGTACTTTGTTTTAATATAATTCTAAGAAACTTCAAATCATTATTTTGTCGCATCAAAAAAATAATTTCGAAAAAAATATTTTTATTACAATTAATTGATTTTTTTTATTTGATTCAATTAAATTAAAATATATGTCACACAATTTGGATAAAAGAGCCGTGTGCAGCTCACGACCGCTGGCCTAACTTATTTTGTGAAAAGACCTTGATTTTTTTTTTACTTTTAAAAGCTATAAACTCAAATACATTTGTTGGAAAAGAAAATTACTTCCCTTGCTTTATTTGGTTGGTTTAACTATGAGATTTCTATGAAATTTAATTTTAAAATAGTTTAAATTTTTTATTAATTTGAAATAATTAACTATTTGAAATTTTTTTTTTTAGTCACATGTGTATGGTAATGAGAGGTGTTCAAAAAGTTGGAGCTTCTACTGTGACTAGTTGTATGCTAGGAGCATTTCGAGATGACCCAAAATCTCGTAATGAGTTTCTCACATTAATTCGAAACAAGTAAAGTTTTGAATCATTTTTCAATGCGAATCTGTTTTTTCACCTAGAATTTGAGAAGTTTTTAATAACCATAGACTTTCTACCAACGACATTTTTAGAATTTAGTGTTCTGATCGTAATTTTTCTAGCATTTTCAAATTGTAGTTATAGGATTTTTTTTTTTCAAGTTGGGTGTGCATAAATTTATATATTTTACCAAGACTATTAGTTGCTAATTGTTTTCTGGCTAAGGGGTCGTCCATAAAGGACGTCATTCAGAATTTAATTACTAACCAGAAGTAGAAGTTTATTGGTTCTCTTCCGCGGAGATTTTCATTGAACATAAGGCGCTATATTAGTCTTAAAATCTCTGCGCACAAGAGCCAACATTCTCCTACTTTTTGTCATTAGTTAAACTTAAAGTGACATCTTTTATGGATGATCCCTAAGTAGCCAGGAAGCGAGGTAGGATGTCATTCTGCCACATTTTGACAAAGTAGAAACAATCCCACCATCTTTGTCTCCAATCAGGTTAGGTATTTTGAAATTAAAGAAAAGAATCCCGTTATTATTATTTCTCTACACACACACACACACAAACACACATCTATATAAATACAAGATCTATATATATTTATATATATGTATATTATATTATATATTTATATATGTATATTTTTTGTATTAACTATTTATGTATGTTTGTATAGATCGTTTTAAAACTTTTTTTGATGTTTAATGTTTTATATATTTATTTCTGTTATACTTTTTTAAAACTTTTATATTATATAAGTTATATATAAAGTAAAAAAGTTGTATATAAAGTAAAAAAAAAACATATCAAAGACATAAAAATTGATAAATAGAGTGGATCAAAAAAATATACAGATATCTTCACTGTATATTTTTTTAATCTACTTTATTTTATTTATCAATTTTTACATCTTTTCACATTTCTTATAAATATTGTGGTAGTGAATGTTTTTAAATTTTTAGATTTTTTGCATGTTATTAGCAAAAAAGATGTTTCGAAAACAAAGAAAAATTTTAAAGCAATAGTGAATTAATCAAAAAAATTGCATAAAGATCATGATGAAGGTACTCGTTGACGGTTGCTGACTGCAAACTATAGATTTAATTTTGCCAAATCCAGTGTCCGATTTGCCGACTAATAAATTTTGTAGGGGAGTTAGACACCTCCTTCTTACCTCGGGATGTCTTTAGTAAAGATTTTTTGTTACTATAACAGTCTAACAAATATAATTTAACAAAATCTGAGAAAAATTTAGTTACTATAACTTATTCTTGGAAAAAACAATTTAAACTAAATTAGTAAAAATTAAGTTTTGTGGTTTATACCATAACTTATAATATAATTACAATAAGTTACGATATAAAGATGTTTCCATCAAGGACTGGGCTGGGAAGTTAATTTGAAGATAATTCATTTTTAATTTAAACAGTGACAAATTCAGGAAGTAGCGCACTCGTTTAACAACTGATGATTCATTAATGTGATGAGAAAAACCCTTAAGACCACCTACTGGTCCATTTTGCACCAGTGCAAAAGCCAGTATTGGTGACTCAGAATATTACAGTAACTCCAATATTGGGGTTATTGTAATATTGGATAAAATCTGATACTGTAAACCAAGCAGCAGTCCTTGGCTTTCATGCCAAAAAAATAGGACAAGTTTTGTGGTTTAATTTTGAACAGCTTTAAAAGCATTTGTATTTTTCGTTCCTCATGTTGTACTCAAAATAAGGTCTCGCGAGGGGGGATTAAAGGACGTCAAACTTTTCAAGCAATGTTTGAATGTGTGTTTTAGAATACAGAAAAAAATCATACGAATTTACAGCTTTTGCTATTTTACTCAACGCACTTAATGCAAATGTTTTCATATTTTTAATCTAAATTGTTCTCTGTGGTAACAAACATACAATTTTTCCAGTCTGCAACATTATTTTTGTTAAGTTTTTAACAAAATCAACAACAAAATTCAATATATTTACCAGAAATAAAGATGTTTTATAATAACCATGTCATAACGTAAAAAAAATATGTTGTTTAAGCATAAGACATGTTATAAAAAAATAAATAAAACAGTTATATATAAAGTAAAAAAAAGTTGTATATAAAGTAAAAAAACACATCAAAAACATAAAAATTGATAAATAGAATGGATTAAAAAAATATACAGATATCTTCACTGTTATATTATATATTTTATATTATAATTAGGGGTGTACCAGAATCAAAATTTTGAGTTCCTGCCTTAATCGGATTTGGCGGAATCTTTAATAAAATTCCGGCCAGAACAAGAATTATATTTATGAAATTTTTTACCTACACGATTGAATGTGGAAGCCTGCACCTCAGCATCGTGGCTATATAATACATGTTTATAACCTATAAACATATATATATATATATATATATATATATATATATATATATATATATATATATATAACGTGAGTTATGCATATTTCGGACGTTTTTATCTTTGAATGAAAACTAAGACGTTTAAACTTAAGAAATTAAAAAATATTTTACATAATCTTGTAGATCTCAACAAGCTGCATAAAAACTTACCATTTAAAAAAAAAAGGTGTTATATTTTATTTAAGAATGTAATTATAAAAACAGTACTAAAAAATTCGAAATATCATGCAGTGCATGTTAATTCGGATTCCATTAAAAACGTATGGAAAAAATCAAAGTTGCGAAAATAAAACGTTTTTTTTTTTAGTAAAAAAAATAATCACATTCACGCGCCTACATTTAATGATCGGATTCTTTTTTTAATACAAAACCATTTAATTTAATTTCGGATTTTTATTCAACAGATAACTGCTTAGATTTGCATTCAAAAAAAAAATAAATTCAAATTGAAATTAAATCTCATTAATAAAAATAAACAAGTACCACAAAACCATATACCACATCTACTTTTACAACTCATCCATTGAAAATTGAAAGGGTCTTCCTGATGAATTTTACCACATTTACAAGCTGTGGGTTGAATAATTTGTGTGGTTTGCCATGAAGGAATAGTATTTTAATTATCGTCAATAGCTTCATTTGTATTTGCGACTACAGTGGACTCAACAATTTCATTTGTTTCATTAATTAATTTATTTTTTGCCTTATGCTTATTTGTCTTTGTTACTTGCTTGCATTTTTCAGAAGTAAGTTTTCGTTTTTCAGCTTCTTGTTTAAGTTTTTCAGCTGCTTGTTTACGTTTTTCAGCGTCTTCTTTACGCTTGTCAGCAATTTCTTTTTATTTTGTTGCTCTTTTGCTTGCTTGTTGAGCTATTTCATCTATTTTCTTTTTATCTTCATCTTTTTTAGCTATTAATTGAGCAACACAATTATCTGAAGTTAGGCAATTACCTTTAACTTGTTTACCTTTTGTTTTTTTCTGGACTGAGCTTTTTTCTCTTTGCAATATTTTAACTAACATATTTTCCATATTTGTTGAAGTGGTTGCTATATTAGATTTTACTACATTATTTATTTCTCGCAATAAATTATTACGCTTCACTAGTGAATTTGATGTTTTTGGTGTTGAAGTTAATGCTGATGTTGATGTATTATTTGTATTATTTTCATTTACTGATTTAAATACTTCATTAATATGACAATCAGCTGTTTTGTTGCGATTTAATGGAAACAAACCACATTGTGCAAATTGTGCAAAATAACTCCACTCTTGTGTCTAGGAGTGATAGCTACCCACCGTTGTGGAGGAACTCTCCACACTTTCCGCGAGTGAGTATATTTATGAGTTAATACAGTTTTTTATTATTTTTTAGATATAGATAAATAAGAGCTCATTATTTAAATTCTTGGTCAAGATTATCTCTATTTCTCTTTTAAACCAGTCAGTAAATATTTTTTGAGAAATAATAACTTTTTAAATGAGCCTTTCTGTCAAACAAACTTTAATCCATTTTGTGTTATCTATCGAGCGCCACACCTTTGGAATAAAATTATTTTGGCGAATTTTAATTTTGAAGTACCTATTACTTTTTGCCTTTTTAAAAAAAAAAAACTGAAAAACCTCATTCTTTTATTAGATAATATATTGAGTTATTATTAGTAGTAAAAGTTAAAAATATCTTTTGGTATTTTTTTTTTTTTTTGTTTATAGAAGTTTTATGTTTATAGAAGTTTATTCCTACTTATTTTATTTATTGTTCTTATACTTTTTACTTTTTAATTTATATGTTGGTTTACTCTGGATTAAAATCTGAAGAAAAGATCCTCTGATCTTTCTTCAGTCACAGATTGTTTGCCTTGCAATTTTGTAAAAGTTTATAAATTTTTTTTTTTATGTTATCATTTTTATTTGTTAAATGCTTTTTTAAGGTTCTGACGACAAGATCCTTGCGATCTTCTTTCAGATACCTTGTTTATGTTTATTATGTTTTATGCCATTGTAAGTTTATATTATTATTTTTATTATGGGCTGTACAACGATTAACAAATGTAAACCAAAAAAAATAAATAAAAATAAAAAAATTATTAAATTTAAAAAAGTAGTCTGTAAAAAATTTGTAATAATACCAAAAATTGCTGATGTTGTTATGTTCATATACATGCATATTATTTTTAAGTATGACAACTTTTATAAAAAAAAATTTTTAAAATTTGGCTTGGGCCCCTAATAACTATGGGTCTAAAAATCTAGCAAGAGTTTAACAAAAAGTGCCATGTTAATGCTACTTACAATCTCATAACCTACATTCATAGACTAACTTTTTTGTTTTGCAGGATCTGCAACGAGCAATTACTGGCACAAAATCATTCACTCTGGCACAAGAGTATCAACAGCATGTTATTTCTCCACAACAATGGTCACAGATGTCAACTGAAGACAAACATAAAGCAGTGAAAAAGTTATTCTATGCGAGGATACCAAGCACAATGTCAACATCAAGTGACGGAAAACTCAAAGTTCCTATGCCCAAGAGCAGTAAGAGACCAGGTCAAAGGAAAAGGCAAACAGCTGAACGATCAATGACAATGCCGAAACAGCAAAGAAAAACATGCTTTGGCAAATAAACAGAAATGAACTGGATAGTCTTCTTTAAATATAACTTTACAACTTGTAAATAACAAGAAATTAACGGATGACTAGCGTACCCAAGAGGGCCCGGTT